AGAGCTGCCATCAGCTAACTAAAGTCAGGGGCCGTACCAACTGCAGCACTGCATTTCTGAGACCCTCACCGTAGTCTAATCATAACGAAGCATTAACATAGCAACAGGAAAACCCCTCTCAAACCGATTCAAACCCTTCCCAACAGCAATAGCAAATCTCCCTGCAACGACGACAGTCCCAATCCTGTTGGAGTGTAACCCCTTCATCTTGTGGGAAGAATGAGACAGGAGGGAAGTAAAGGTTGTACAAAATAATCACAAAGTTCCTACTATCTCTGATTCAATTTTAACCTCTCCCAATCACAAATCCCATCTGCCCCACAACCACTCCCAATGCCTCAGAAATCCATTGCACTCTCTGCCACGCTCAATCTCCAGCTGTGTGTTCAATTGGTCACTCCTTCTATAACTTTTCTCACTTGCACAAGGTTGGTTACTCTTCCTGCCTGTGTCATTGGCACCAACATAGACCGAAACCTCTGGCAGTTCACCCTCTCCCAGGAGAATGGCCGCAGTAATTCCCTGGCCCCGGAAGCAGTTGTTGGCTCCCTACTTGCTCGCTGGTCATGCATTTCTTTTATTCTCCTCTCTATCCTGAAAAAGAACATCCTGCGTCTTGGAAGGATTAAATAATTGGTTCCCAGGCAAGGTCATTCACACTTGCCTTCTGAGTATAAACAGTGCTGGGAATAATGGTCCCTTCTCAATTGGTGTTGCATCGAAATGCAGCAAGGCAATGCAAAAGTCTTGCTTTATTGCTGAGATTCGAACATCGTTGATTAGGCAGTACATACCCAACGTTCTTCTGGACCGTTTGAGAGAGGGTAGTGAATAACGTTATAATTCATTTGGTCACTCTCCCTTCAGCACACTTCTTGAAGCAGTTTGCCAGTGAACTCTGATACATTGTCAGAGACTATCTGCTCCAGGGCATAGAAGCAGCTGGAAGTAGCAGCCTTCATTTCAGCAAGGATTGCACTCATGCTGTTGTTAAGTCTTCAAGCAATGGGGAGTTTTGGGAAGTAATCCGTCTCAAAGATGTATTCGTGGCCTTGTACGATAAATAAGGTCTGAGGCTTTTTTCACCTCAGGAATGGATGGAACACGTGGATCCACAAACTCTCTCGGCTGCTGGGCTTGGTGCATTTGGCGTAACTCACATGATTTGCGAGTCACCGAATATCCTGACTCATCCTGAGCCAGGCTACAGATTCGCAAAGAACAAAGAACATTACAACACAGGAACAGGCTCTTCGGCCCACAAAGGCTGTGCCGATATATGATGCCTTTCTAAACTGAGAATCATTTGGCTTCTATGGGGTCCGTATCCCTTTATTCTCTGCCTTTTCATACATCCATCAAGATGCCTCTTAAATGTTGCTGTTGTATTGGGCTCCACCATCTCCTCTGGCAGCACATTCCAGACACTTACCACACCGTGTAAAAAAAAAAATTACGTCTCACATCTCCTTTACAGTTACCCCCTTTTACCTTAAACCTACGTTCCCTAGTATCTGACATTTCTACCCTGGGAAAACGACCCCAACTATCCATTCTATTCGTGCCACTCATCATTTTGTAAACTCATATCAGGTCACCCCCCATCCTCCGACCTTCAAGTAAAAACAAACCAAGTTCACCCAATCTCTCCTCACAGCTAATACCCTCCAAACTAGGCAACATGCTGGTAAACCATTTCTGTACCCTCTCCAAATCCTCCCACATCCTTCTGGTAGTGTGGTGACCAGAACTGTATGCAATATTCCAAACGTAGCCTAACTGAAGTTCTATACAGCTTCAACACAACTTGCCAATTTTTATATTCTGATCAAAGGTGGCAAACATGCCTTATGCCTTCTTGACCATCTTATCCACTTGTGTTCCCACTTTCAGGGAAATGTAGACCTATAGATCTAGATCCATCTGTATGTTCATGTTTCTAAGGGTTTTGTCATTTACTGCCCTTTTGCAATAGCTCAGTGACTCTGTGGTTTGCACTGCAGCCTCACAGCTCCAGGGGCCCTGGTTCAATTCCAGCCTTGGGCAACTGTCGAGTTTACATGTTCTCCCCATGCCTGCATGGGTTTCCTCCAGGTGCTCCAGTTTCCTCCCACTGTCAAAAGATGTGCAGGTTAGGTGGATTGGCCATGGGAAATTGCCCCATAGTGTTCAGGGACGTGTAGGCTATGTGCAGCAGCCATGGGAAATGCAGGGTTCCAGGGTTAGGAAAGGGTGGGTGAGTTTGGGTGGAATTCTCTTCGGAGGGTCAGTGTGGACTTGATGGGCTGAATGGCCTGCTTCCACAATATAGGGATTCTATGATAATAGACTTCAATGTGCCAGCTGTTCTGAGAGTTTAATATATCTGTGACTCTGGTGTAATATAGTTATAACAACCTGGCATAATACTGACAGTATGAGGTCTCATTTACCCTTGAAAATGACTTACAATGATGTGCCAAGTTCATCTGTGTATTACCAAAATGACTGAATCTTCTCTGAACCTCTTTAATATTCCAAGATCTAATCTGAACTATGGTAGGGGTTGGTTAGCTTAGTTAGCTGGACAGCTGATTTGCGATGCAGAGTGATCTAATGGCATGGCTGATATTGAACTGATTATTATGTGCTTTTGTCGTGCTTCAAGTAGCTCCAGTTAAGATGGAATTTGAAATTCTCGTTCACTATCAGTCATAACAGACCAGTCTCTCCCATTTCAAACTCTCCTCACACCCCCCTGCCTCACCCCCTGTCCAAACTTCCCTCTCATCCCTGCCCCCTTGATCTTCTTTCCCATCTATCCACCCCAACCTTCCCACTAACCAATCTCCACTAGCCCTTCCTGCATCCATCCGTCACCTTCCCATCTCCCTTCCGCCAGCCCCACCCCCCTCCCTCTATTTATTTCCAAACTCTCTTCCATCTCCCCGGTTCTGATGAAGGGTATAAACCAGAAACGTCGACTTTCCTGCTCCTCTGATGCTGCCTGACCTGCTGCGTTCCTCCAGTATGGTCTCTCCCGTACATCATTCCAGGAATCAGTCTGGTAAACCTTTGTTGCACTCCCTCAATTGCCAGAACATCCTTCCTCAGATAAGGAGAGCAGAACTGCACACAATATTCCAGGTGCGGTCTGACCAGTGTCCTGTACAATTGCAGCAAGATGTCCCTGCTCCTGTACTCAATTCCTCTCACTACGAAGGCCCACATACCATTTGCCTTCTTCACCGCCTGCTGCATCTGCAGTGCACTAGCCGCTGAAGGTAAGCGTAAGGATACCCAGTTCTCATCGCACCCCACCTTTTCCCAATCTGTCGCCATTCAGATAATGATCAACATTCTTGTTTTTCCTCACCAAAGGGAACGGTACGGCACCTCAAAAAAATATTAAGCAACAGGTGAAACTAACCATTTCCTCGGTAGCGGGAGTGTGGTCCATTTACAGGCTGCTACCATCAAAAAAAAAGACTTTCTGCTAACCACACAGATTGAGTAATGTGCTCTGTCAATTTCACTACTGGTGTGACACCAAGCACATGGGCTAAACATCCGAAACCACTGGTGGACCACCTCAAATAGCCAACCCTTCAGCTGTCCATTACACACAGAGCACCAATAGCACTTGATAAGGCCAAACTCAGAAATCTCAGAACATAGTTTCCCAATTTGATGGGACTCCACATTTGGGGCAGCACTTACTGAAATATCCGGACGGTGCCAAGGGTCACTCCAACAACCAACTGAAGATTATCGATCAGCTTGCAAAGTGACTCACTTACACACACCAGAAGCTACTCATGTTCATATAAAAGGGCTCAGTCCCCTGCAGCTAAAGGACATTGTCCAGGCACTGCACCCTTCAA